CGTGTTCTCCAACGTTTTGAAGAAGATGATACTTTAAGCACCAGAAGAATTGCTTTCGCCGAAAATATGCCACATTCCTTGGTATGGAGGATTGCTAGGGAACAACAACTGCATCCATATCATATGACTAAAGTACAAGAATTGCTTGCTGAAGATTTGCCAAAACGACTACAATTTTGCAACTGGATGTCAGAAAAGGTTCGTGTTGATGCGATGTTCGCCAAACGTATTTTGTTTACTGATGAGTGTTGTTTCACAAAAAATGGCATTTTCAATTTAAGAAATAGTCATCACTGGAATGATGAAAATCCAAATGCAACAGTTGTGCGACATTCACAATACAAAATTAAAATCAATTTATGGGCGGGAATAATTGGCAATAAACTTTTGGGTCCAATTGAACTTCCTCTAAATGTGAATGGGGAAAATTACTTACATTTTTTGAACAACGACTTTGTTGAAGTTTTGGAAGACCTTGATTTGGAAACCAGAAGAAATATGTGGCTAATGCAAGACGGGGCCCCTCCTCACTACTCTCGACAAGTAAGGCGACATTTAAATAATATTTTTGCAAATAGATGGATTGGTCGTGGATGGGATGCTCCTCAGCCATGGCCACCAAGAAGCCCAGATCTAACTCCTTTAGATTTTTTTGTTTGGGGATACGCAAAATCTAAAGTGTATGAAATTCCAATAGAAGACGAGGATCATTTAAGGCAAAGAATAACGGACACTTTCAATGAAATAAAGACGAATGAAGAAGTTTTGAATAAGCTCCCCTTTCATTTCTTAAAAAGAGTTAGAGCATGTATTAGAGCTAACGGTGATCACTTTCAACATATGCTTAAATAACTTTTTTTTGTAGTAAGTAGTTTTGTTATGTTGTAATTTAAAAATAAATGTTATTTGTTATAACAAATTTACAAACCAAATCCATACCCAGTTACCACATAAAGCATAGCCTTCTTGATTACAGCATTCTTGTTGTCGGGTGCACGACAATAAATTTTGCAAATTTTAAAGAGAACGGTTCATGTTGGCGACATTGAACAAGAGTACCTTTTTTGTGACATATTAGTTTATTTTTCAGAAAATTTGATCAATTTTCCGAAAATGCAAAGGACAATTTTTTTTTCATAATAAAATCCTATGTGCTACCCCGGCTCTCCGCTCCTGGGCGATGGGAATAAATTGTTTTTGCACGAAATTGTTGCATTTTAGTGTCTAAGAAACTGCACCAAGATTCATTTAAATTGCCTAACTTTTGTAGAAGTTATTGCGAAAAATTGTTTCTCAAACTGTACCTTTATCACCCTGTAACTTTTTTATTATGCATTTTCGGACCTATGTTTACATGAAATTTTTTGCTCAAAATGACATTTTCTATCTGTCGTATTCATTTGGCACCATAGTTTAGAAACACCCTGTATTATGCTGATCTTCATTTTCAACCTTTGCCAAAATGAAAATGTTTTTGAACATTTACTGAAATTTTAAAGAATAATATTCAGTTGGCGTTTTGGCTGTTCATATGCATTTTTAAGAATTAATTTGTCATAATAAAATTAAAATTGTAATAATGTTTTAATTTTGATGCAACAACTTGTTGAGTTATGTATGACCAAGTGATGGTAATAGCTTTAATAATAATAATAAATGTTTTATTGTAACGTGTGGTGGTAATAGTTTAAATAACTAGATGTATTTCACAGGATCTAACGACACTTACAATGTATGATAATTCAATAAACAAAGAAATCTAAATAAAAAATTTAGATAAATTTGGAACGAATACACTGAAGATGAATTTTTCAAGACAAAACGTCTGCATCCGGTTCGGGCTGAGACAGTACAGTATTGGGGGCCATGAAGGCTTGCAAAAAATGTAATAAAATTTCTAGGGTTGTATTCAAAAAAATGAAGTTGATGATGGTCCAGGAGAGACGAAACGTTACATATAAAAATTGATTATGCCTTTCGATAGAAGGCAAGAAGTGACCACGAGAAAGTGTTCTCCTTTTTTCAATATCACCTCAAACTAGGCTGAAATGAAACAAAAACGGACTTCCAAAATTTCGTTTTTTTTTTAAATATTTCGAAATCTAATCAAGTTAGCCTTGATTTTTTAGAGGCATAATGTTGATCCCCTGATTACACAACTTTGCTCCCATTTAAGCTACTTCGTACCTCTTACCGTTTACGAGATCCCTGTAGTGAGAAGTGAATTTGTAACAGCCTGTATATCTCACATATTTTTTTAATGGAAATATTTCTGTAGGTCAAAATTGTTTGTCAGTTGAAGGACACTACTTTGTCCCTGGATGTTTTTCAAGAACAAATAAACGTAATGGAGAGAGATGATATGTTACAAATTTTACTAGATTTAAATGTGCTAGAACTTTGTCTTATAATATCTATGAAACATCACGTTGAGATATATGATAATCAACCAATGAATTTCGAAATGGTTTTCTCGAGGTACCTTAAATTTGTCAATGCAAATTCAAATATTCAAAGTGTACAAAGGCCTGTTATTATGAAAGCTTTTGAACATATTCAGGTAATGTTTATATGAAAGTAATCTTGTGTTCATATGTTAGGTAATTTTTATTGTTGCACCTTAATTTTAATAAAAATCATTTCATTGTTTGTTAAAATTTATCATAGTTATTTTTTTATAACTTTTCTGTGTTATTGTTAGTTCATGAGTTCTTTTTTAGAATTTGGAGATAATATCTATGATCAGTGGAGCAGGATCTAGAAATCAAAAAGAATACCAATTCTTCAAGTTGTTGGTGACTTCTAAACAAATAAGTGATGCATTAAAAAAATATGTTGGTTTACCTACTGAGGTGGTGCAATGGGCCAACAGTTCTTTGGTTTAAATACAATGTGTTATAGTATTATAATAAATTATTTTTTTTAATTTTATTATGAAATGAAACTTTACATTACTTTTATTTACAAGTCAATAACATGCAGCACATAAAATACATTCCCTAACAAATGTGCTTTATGATATAATACTTTTGTTTTGCGTCAAAATTCGTCTATGTTTCAGATATTCGCAATAATTCTACAATAAAAGTCCAAATAGCGCAGTTCCTGCCGTAAAATTAGTAGAAATATAAAACAACAGCGCATCTTCCCCTATCATCCCTCGTAGAAATGCTATTGAAAATTCTTGCACACTGTCCCTCATTTGCGAGAAGGCGATTAACGTCCTAGCACCACAAATAAAAACGGACGGATCCAGAACAGAAATGCTCCATCCAGACCCATTGTGAGAGTTTGTGACCCTCTAAATATGTTAAGGGGAGATAACGATAGGTCAATTCCACCATAAGCTAGTCCGTATATTATGTGTTTTGTGCTAGTCAAACCGAACAAAATCCGCGTCATGGCGCTTAACGTGGGGCTATGCCAGAAGATAGAGAACCGATCTACATAAATCCGTGACATTGACGCCTAACGTGGAGCTATATGTTGCCAAATGAGTAGTGATGGGACTACTCGAATGAAAATTATTGATTATGAAAATCTCGAGTGATCATATAGATTCATTCGATTATTCGGAGACGACTGACAGTGACCACAGCGTTACTAACGTCAGTCGTTACTCGTCACCGAATAACGCAAACGCGCTACTCGAGCGAGAGCGCAGGTGTTTCGATTGTTCATCTAACGAGCTACAAAACCTCGAGATAAGACGGCCGAGAGGATGGATGAGACAATCGAATATCACCGACATACAATAAAAAAGATATGCAAGAATTTTATGAGTGGCATCGCGCGGTTTTGAAGGGCGGTTTAGAAGGGATCTTTACTTAGCGAGGATAGAAATTCATATGAATGAAAATAATACAAAAATTGTTTTCTATATAATTTTTTTTCAAAAAATCCCAAACAATGGACCTCTTTAGGCGGCGACTACTCATTTTAATCACATGCTGCTGAACCATTCAACTGGCAAGGAAGAAATGCGACAATCCGCGACAGTCATTCATTTACATGTTTCTCATATGATTTGGGATAGGTTGGAAATTTTCGAAGTGAAACTTTCAATTATATATCATTCTCATCACTACAAAATGGGCCAATGATCCACCCAAATCCACGATAATATCCAACTTAAGTTCTTAATTATATTTGTCGTTGGCTCCGCCTACGCCTACAAGAAGGTAGAAGTAGCAAACGACAAATTGTAAATATGTACCCGTATTCATAGTTCTATAAATCTCTTATCTATGTTCATAGTCATTCCTTGAGGCACAAGAATCCCTTATTCCGTATTCCGCATACCATAAGGAATATGCAATAAGTAATCCTTGTTCCTCAAGAAACTACTATGAATACGGGTATAGAAGACATACATTTTCAACTTTAAAGGCAATGGATCCACCTGCATGGGTGATCACGGATATCCGTATTCGCGAAACGCTTCGAGCATATACTACTAGCAGCATGCCATTGTGAAGTGTTTCTGAGTGTGCGAGAGAGACAGACAGTATCTCAGTACCTGCTATCTCACTCTAGCACGCACGCGATTGGTTGTAGCATTCATTTCCAACCAATCGCGTGTGTGCTAGAGTGAAACAGCAAGTACTGAGATAGTCGAGATACTCTGTCTCTCTCGCACACTCAGCCGCACTTTTCGCAATAGCATGCTGCTTCCAGTAGTATATGCTCGAAGATAAAACGTATATGCGAAATTTGGTCCATTTACATGCAATGTCCGTAATAATTTGTATTATTTCTGTCATTCTACTACAACCTACAACGATCTCGTTCGAATGGATACGTGTACAAAGTTGAAATTAATCAATGTTCATCCGTTTTGACCTTGACGGAGCGTCAAGTCGCTTTCTGGTACACATATGGAGTGTAGACAATTGGATAATGCCGATAATGGATTGGATGTTAATAGTCACGTGATTACAATAGATCCGTGATCATGCGTCAATGTGGATTCAGGCTAATAGTTGACCGTTGACCATAGAAAATATAGTACTATATTTTCTATGTAGTTGACGGAAAAGTAAAGAAAAGTAACCTAAAATTTTAAGTTAGTGTCAACTGTCAACGGCGACGTCTGCCGTAGCCGCATTGCATATTGCATCAGCAATTAAGTAAAACTGCCTATATAGGTTTCAAATTTATTAAAAATGGTGTTGGATTTAGATCTTTTCCGTAGTGATAAAGGTGGAAATCCTGATAAAATTAGGGAAAATCAAAAGAAACGATTTAAAGATGTTGCGTTGGTAGATGCCGTCGTGGAAAAAGATACCACATGGAGACAGTTGAGACATAAAGCAGATAACTGGAATAAATTGAAAAATTTATGTAGTAAAGCTATTGGCGAAAAAATGAAGAAGAAGGAAAATCAAGGAGATCCTAATGGACTAATTCCTGAAAGTGTGTCGGCACAACTGGAAAATTTAACTGCAGAGCTACTCCAGCCATTAACAGTAAATCAGATTAAGAAGGTAATTTACTAAATTGTTATTGAAAAATTTTAATTAGTATTATATTTAAACATTAATGATGTACAATAATTAATAATATTCAATTGTAGGTACGTACCTTAATTGATGAAGCAATAGAAAGAAACGATAACGAGTTATTAAAAACAGAGAAAGAACGAAATTATGCACTCAAAGAAGTTGGCAATCACTTACATGAGTCAGTTCCTGTTGATGATGATGAAGATAATAATAAAGTTGAAAGGACTTTTGGAGACTGCACTTTAAGAAAAAAATATTCCCATGTTGATTTAATTCATATGATAGATGGAATGGATGCTGAGAGGGGAGCTGTTGTTTCTGGAGGCCGTGGCTATTACTTAACAGGTCCGGCCGTTTTCTTAGAGCATGCATTAATTCAGTTGTCTTTACGAATTTTGCATAAAAAGGGTTATAAACCACTGTACACTCCATTTTTTATGAGGAAAGAGGTAAAAATATTGCACTTTATCCTTTTTTTAACTGTAAATTCTAAATTTTATTAAATAAACCAAAACAATCCAGACATCACATAAAAGGAACTAGGTATATACTTGACTATATAAAATATATTTTAGATAATGCAAGAGGTAGCTCAATTGTCTCAATTTGACGAAGAGTTGTATAAAGTAATTGGTAAGGGTAGTGAAAAAGCCGATGAAAAGGATGTAGAAGAAAAATATTTAATAGCTACCTCTGAGCAACCAATTGCAGCGTTCCATAGGGATGAATGGATCCCTGAAAGCTCTCTGCCCATTCGTTATGCAGGCTTATCTACATGCTTTAGACAAGAAGTAGGTTCTCATGGAAGAGATACTAGAGGAATTTTTAGAGTACATCAATTTGAAAAGGTAAGTGCAGGTAATTTTTTCAACTGGAATAGGGTCATTCTCATTTTTTTAAATAATTTTGCTTAACGTTTTGATCATATAGTTTTTCTTCTTTTAAAAGCAACTGTAAAGACAAAAACACAATAGATTCTACGATTCCTATATAAAATATTACAGCTTACAAATATAGTTGCTTGCAGTAATATTTTATGCTCATATAATTTGTTCAAATTAAATCAGTTCAAGATCGTAATATTTCTAGGTGGAACAATTTTGCCTTACCTCACCGTTTGATAACAAATCGTGGGAAATGATGGACGAAATGATATCTAACGCGGAGGAGTTCTGCCAACTTCTAGAGATACCTTACCGTATTGTCAACATAGTATCCGGAGCCTTAAACAATGCTGCCGCCAAGAAGTTTGACTTGGAGGCGTGGTTCTCAGGATCGGGGGCATTTCGGGAACTGGTGTCATGTAGTAATTGTTTGGAATATCAAGCAAGGAGGCTGTTGGTCCGATACGGCCAAACGAAGAAAATGAATGCCGCCACGGATTACGTGCATATGCTTAACGCTACGATGTGTGCTACAACTAGAGTAATATGTGCTATCTTAGAAACACATCAAACGGAAACGGGAATTAAAGTACCAGCTGTTTTGAAACAGTATATGCCTGAGGAATACGCAGAGGAAATTAAGTTCGTGAAGCCGGCTCCTATCGATGTCGAAAAAGATTCGAAGAAATCCAAGAAAACGAAAAAAGGTGCTGGTGAAGAATAATGAAAATGATTACTAATTACTTAATATGCATTTTAAATACGTTCTAATTCCAGTATTTATACTTCACTTGGCTTTAAACGGAAGGAAATCTATTATATTTAATTTTTTTTTATTGATTAAAAGTTTGATTTATTTATTTCTAACTTGTATTTTTTCTTTGTGATTATACAGAGTGTAAACCAACCTGGAAAACCTGGAATTGTCATAAACTTCCATATACCTGGATTTCAAATTTTCATGCAATTTTTTAAATTTCAAACTGATGAAATGTCATCGAAAAGTAAATTCGCTACTACTGGCCATTCGATTTTACTTCCGTCTGTATATTGATTCATATTTGCATATTTCATACACACTGAACAGTGTTGCCAGACGTCCCGATTTGTAACCCAAAATTAAATGTCCCGCTTTTCCCGCTCTTGGTTTTTTTTTAGGCATTAATTATTTTCTCCAGGTCTGTTATTTTAAGTAGATATTTCCTGATTACGTCCTTTACAATTTGTTTCCCAGACTTTTTTATATCCCGATTTTTTTTTTAGGCATCAATTATACAAATGCGTCATGGCGTTGTGCCTTAGTATGTCCCGTTTTTGGACGAAAGAATCCCGCTTTTTAATTCAAAAAGTTTCAAAATCCCGCTTTGCCCGAAAAAAATCTGGCAACGCTGATACTGAACCAAATTTGATCACTCGCTAAAATATTGAAAACTATTAGATATGTAAAAAAATTTAAATGGGCAAAATAGCCCCATTCCCCTAAATATTACAACAGGTTTTTAAAAGAAAAGTGTGTTACAGCTTTAAAACGCCTAGGTTGCTAGGGGCCAAACGGCAAATGTTATAGAAACCTGTTTAGGTGGGTATGTGTAGGTTGATTACTACATTTAAAAAATATTTTGAAATATACAGAATGTCCAGGAGAAGCGTACCATATCAAAGTTATGAATTTTTAAATGGAACACCCTATATTTTACTACATTCTTGTTGAAAGCACCATAAAAAAATAGGTGAACTATACAGGGTGTCCGCAAATTTCACCGACAACGTTTGACTATATATTCAAGACGATAAAATAAATACGATCTACGAGAAAAACATTAAATAAAAATTTTTTTGTTTTTGATTTACAGGCTTTCGAAGTTGTCAAAAATAAAACCAATTTAATTAATAACTTCATAACCCTTTTACTGATCGCGTTAAAATGTGGAACAATTATTTGGACTGTTATGGCGTATTGTTTCTTAAAACTTTAGTCAATATACTGGGTGATAGTTTTCTAAGGATACCTCTCCCTTTTAGCGGTCAAAACTTTTACAGTGGTCGTATCTTTTTTTTAAAACGGGCAGCAACATTGAAAAAGTCGTTTTATTTTAAAAAAATTTCACCTCTTGAGAAAATCGCCTAGAGGAAGCCATTATTGAGAAAAATCGCATTATTTGCAGGTCTGCATGCTTCGATTTGCATAGCAGTGTCACGAATTTGAAACTTTGACTTAAGTAGGTGCTGAAAACAAGATGTTGATTGCTGTAGCCACAGCATAAGGTAATGTCATTTTTGTCGTGTTTCTTTAGGATCCTCATCACTCCACACATGTATGAAAATGTTTCACTGTTTTGGTACACTGCAAACACTTCATAATTTGCAAGTGTGGGGTGAATCCTAAAGAAACAGGACAATAATGACGTTTCTGTAGGCGATTTTCGCAAGACAATATTTTTTTTAAATAAAATGACCTTTTCAATGTTGCTGCCCATTTAAAAAAAATACGACCACTGTAAAAGTATTGGCCGCTAAAAGAGAGAGGTAACTGGAGAAAACTAACATCCAGTATATCGATTTGACTAAAACTTTAAGATATATATGCCAAAATGGTCCAAATAAATGTCCCAAATTTTAACGCGATCGGTAAAAGGGTTATGAAGTTATTAATTAAATTAGTTTTATTTTTGACAACTTTGAAGGTCTGTAACTCAAAAACCAAGTTTTTATATAATTTTTTTTTCCAAATTTTAATTTTTTGAAAAAATGTTTTTTATGTAGTGTTGGTTGCCTTTTTCCCTAAATTAAAGTCTCAATATATCCAGGTTATTCTTATTCGGTATTTGCATAAGCAAAATATTATTAAAACAATTTTTTCTAAAATAAAAGCACTGTTCACTTATTGCATATTTCAAGATAACTGGATATTTTTCAAAAAAAAATAAAAAATTGTTCCATGGCATTCCTGATAAAAAATAATTAAATGGTGGTCATTGAAAAACGGAGACTTATGTTTACATTATTTCAACAGGAAAAAATTTTCTTCAAATGTTTTTATCTATAAATAAACCTGGATATTTTTGGTTAAAATTTGATATACACCGGTATATTAAGAATGAAAGAGCATTAAAAGCACACTGATGTTAAATATTTTCTGCTTTATTAAATTTTTATAACAAACAGAGATACAAGCATTTTATACAAAGTTTAATAGTATTCAGTCATTAAATTTACTTCATTTTTTTAAATATATCATATCAAAATGGATAACATATTTGGGATAGAATTCGTTATCATAAAACTTAACAAAAATCATGCCATTTTTCCCGGACGTAGTGTCTGAGCCCCGAGGTGGCACAAGTGTGTTTATATTTCCTGGCCTCACTTCGTCTATCAATACATCTGCCAGTATTATCACTCGTCGTCTCTTTTTGTCACAAAAAAATGTAGCAAAGTGTGCTGATTGTGAAAAGTTGACACCTTTACCATGTCGATGGCCTTTCTCGGTTCCTCCCAATCGCCAGTCAAAATTATAAGTGCAAATGTTATCTACGTACTTTTCTTTTGTACCGTGGAATAGCCTTCTGGGTTGTTTGTTTCCATACTGCATATTCCTCTTGAGTTCAAATGCTTTTTGCAGATACGGGTTATGAACTTTTTTAACAGACTTTACAAACATATTGGATTTTGCAAATAATTTTTTTATATCTTTGAATTGAGCATTATCTTTGTGGAGATTGATATACGTCAGCACATTGTTGACTTCATAACAATCTCCTTCATTGGAGAGTGTAAACTTATTATTTATCTTTAAAATATTTGGATCAATTGATACTCTTATTGGTCCAGGTATATGAAGTTGAGTTACTTTAACTTGTGTTTTTGATCGTTTCTTTTTAGAAACAGTTAGCTTATTAAACTCTAAAATAACACTATCCATTTTGTATTTTCGTTGGATGGACGTTTTTGATTAACTTTAGCAGTCACAACTAATTTTGAGATTAAAGTTTTGTCATAAACACGATAATTTGAACAATATAAAGTGGTTTTTGCACCAGTGGGCAAGTCACACTAACCAGGAACTACAAATTAGCCATTAATGTTCAAAGTTCAGGCACAGTAAATAGACTATACTGTCGTTCAGGTGAATCCCCTGAATCCTACACGCCAGAACAAACAAAACTAACGCTACAACGCTACGCATGTGCCATAAATTTAGAAAAGATCATGCACACAGTGTTGCCAAATGTAGATATTTATTGCCAATATGGCTACTTTGAAACAGAAAAAAGAAAGTAACAATATAATATTATTTCTGTGATTTTCTAGCTACAATGTTATAAGTTATAACCACGGTTATACGAAACAAAAAATTTAAATATTTAAGAAAAGAGGAACAAATTTTAGAAATCTGATGTTAGAACTGAGTTTCCGATCCCGAGTCCCTCTAGATGAGTAGCGGATTTATATATATTAATATATTTGACATAATTTATGATGCAGAATAATAAAGAACGGCGAAGATTCCTTAGAATTTTTCTATAATTCTTATATTTTATGCGACTTTGCAAGAATATATTCACAATTGTAACATGCAGCAATCTTGTTACGTTTTCTTCTAAGAAAGTGGCAACATTTGCTACTTTTTTTTCTCCGTCTTGGCTACATGAGAAAGTTGATATCTGGCAACACTGCATTATACACGTGCAATGGCAAATAGCGCCAGTAGTATTGCGGTACGGATGTTTAGCACAGCATATGATATAATTGGTATATTATACAGGGCTGGAAAATCCACATGGTCCATCTGCCTTTACATGAGAGCGACAAATTGGTAATTTGTATATTATATAACTCTCATTTAGTCATAGAAAATATAGTGTTAATATTAAGTTTTCTATGCATTGAGTCGACAGCAGATCGCAATTTGCATTATGGTTGGATGAAGCCAATTAAAGTTCTTTATGTATTTATTTTCCTAATATAACGGACATAACAGTTAAACATTAAAACATAATAACCAAAATCTAATAATACATAAAAACAAAAAATCCGTCTAAAAAGGCTGAGGAAAAATGAAAATATAAAAATAATTTTAAAACAATTAACAAAGCCACAGTTATTAAGTCTTCAAAAAATTTGCAATGTTATTGGCAGGTACATAGATACATAAAAAATAAGATCTAATTATAATGCATATGCCAGTGTTTTTACTAATGTCACTCAAATTCAAATTCGGGAAATGAATTATTGCAGTTTAATAATATTAAAAATATTATTTTGTCATTATGAATGCTGTGGTACACTAGTCCACTATAATAATTTAATTTCGCGAATCTGATGACCCCTATTAATATATTCCAAAGGGCCGAAACAAACTATAATAAATTTTAACAAATGTGTCCACGACAGATACAGATGGCAGGATAGGTCTGGCAATATTACCATAGATTAAATAATATTACAAGAAATAATTTTGTAAGCAAAGATATTGACAGTGGTTAGGAATTTTTAGATGGATATTTTTCTTCTTTCTTATTGGCTGCAAAACAAATGTTTTATGGAAAAACCAATGACAAGGACATACACCAAAAACAAGAACTGGAAGCTTACATTTGTATCCTGTACTAGAAGAAAGGGCCCTAGCCGGCGGGGCCCAGCCAGGACAAAAGGTCCCACAAAGCGCCTATACCGGCCGCATTTGAGGTCGGGGTAGACGCCGAATGGGGCCCACCTACGAAGGCTGTCCAGACCTACACGAGATGAGGCAGGATAAAAAGGAATAATCCCCCTCGATCCCAAATCATTGAGGCCAATTTCTAGCCATATGGAATAATGCCGCGTATCCGTTATTAAATTTGGACCAAAAAGGGTCCCAAGAAAATTTATAATGTAATAATTTTTATTTGGAAATAAGTGTTTTAATTATTTGTGATTTATTTAAATTTTGATATTAAAGTAAATCAATACTAGAGCTGAAATAAGTATTTGTTGAAAACATTTTGACATATGTCTTACATTTCTTTATACAGGGTAGCCCATCGAAGACGTACCGCAAGGCATTACAGGGTAGTAAAGAACTTTTNTAATACCCATGGGCAACAATAAATACTGCACTTAAATTAGGCAACCAAATGTACATATGCATATCTACGGTTGTCTACATTATGCATTAGTTAGGCTTCCAAATCACCAGAGGCGCTGTGGTAATGGTTTAGTGGATTATTTAGGGAGATTTCGTTCTATCTTGTATATTATTTTTTCTATGGTAATTCCTAATAGATGTTTGCAATTTAAAATGTAACATCATTCTCAATTGAATTAAAAATAATATTTAAGTGGTGTAGGTATAAATCCCTACACATTGTTTATAAATTTCAATATATCAGTTTTGTTGTTGTATTAATTATATTTAGACATCATTGTCAGTTTTGTGTTTCGAATAATTATTGACTACTACTGATCATGAGGGCACAGATGAGGGTATAATCTTCGAGCATAATCAATGCTAGTTTAGAGTCGTTTTCTGCAATATCAGTAGCATCTTGTTTGAGAGGTTGGATATTTTTTGCATAACTAAATTCCTGGCATCGAAAAACACTATCTATGTTTAAAATCAAGTAAGAAATATGTATATCAACTTATTTTATAACTTTTGTAAAAAGTACTTTAAGCAATTTAAATTATGGATTTCACAGGGTCTAACGACACTTACAGTGTACGATAATTCAATAAACATAGAAATGTAAATAAAACATTTAAATAAATTCGGAACAAATACGCTGAAGATGAATTTTCGAGACAAAACATCTGAATCTGGTTCGGGCTAAAGCAGTACAGTATTGGGGATCATAAAGGCTTGGCAAAGAATGTAATAAAATTTCTAGTGTCGTATTTAAAAAATGGAGTTGATGATGGTCCTGGAGAGACGAAACGTTACATATAAAAATTGATTATGTCATTCGATAGAGGGCAAAAAGTGGCCATGAGAAAGTGTGAATCTTTTTCAAACCTATCTATTAGGTAGAAAGCATTGTGTCAGCGTCAGCATTGGACAATAAATTATCTACTCTTCTCTTGTTGTAAGAGTTCCTCAGGGATCTGTGTTGGGACTAATACTTTTCTTGATTTATATCAATGATTTACCTACAAATATTTCTAGTGGTACTTGCGTCCTTTTTGCTGTTGACACTACTATTCTAACACCAGGAAATTTGAGCACAGACAGCTTGAATGAAGCAAAAACCTGGTTTTCAGCGAATAGATTAAAATTGATTGTATCTAACACTCAACATATATCTTTTACATTATTTTTCATTGATTCACAGTCATTTTATGGAGTTACCTTGTGGGGTAATTCGTTTTGCTATCAAATCATTTGTGATACAGAAGGCCGCTGTTCGTCTTATAGCAGGTGTACCAAACTATACTCATAGTAGGGTTTACTTCCATAAATATAAGATATTGCCACTTCCTTGCCTATATCTACTTGAATCACTGTATGTATCTAGTTCATAAAAATTTGCCAAACATTCCGACACACTCTAGTGTACATGAATATTATACTAGGCACCGTGGAGCCCTTATAGTTCCTTTCTCTAGGACTAATATAACTAGAGACAATAAACCCAAAATAAATTTATATAATACATTGGTTCATTTCTTCAAGCCCGAGAATATTAAATTAATGTCTCTCAAATCATTTTATAATTTCACTAAAAAATTTTTTATGACGAAATTTTAGTACTGATGAGTTTATTGTTTATTTCTATGTGTTCCATTACTTGAAATGTACTGTTAATTATGTATGTAAAAAAAGACAATAAATTATTATTATTATTATAGCTGTCATTTACACTAAATGTACTGGGACATCCGGGCAAATTTTTCGAAAAATACCTTTGGTATTCCGAGTACTTACCAGGTCTAAGATTACAATACTTTTCTTCATTGGCAACCTACTTTAAAACGTGTTTAAAGTTATTTATGCAATTGAAATTCAATAAAATCGTACGGGTGGTGGTGGTGGAGGAAGCAGAGAGCGCGGCCGCTTCGGCCTGCTCGAAATTGAATCGGCGAGTTCAAAANCACACACGGGAATGCCATTAAAAACTAATTTGGGAATTCCTAATTGTTAGGATTAAAGGCGGTAGGTATGGATAAATGCAGGTAATGAGATTATCGGTAATTCCTAATAGGTGTTTGCAATTTAAAATGTAACATCATTCTCATTTGAATTAAAAATAATATTTAAGTGGTGTAGGTAAATCCCTACACATTGTTTATAAATTTCAATATATCAGTTTTGTTTTTGTATTAATTATATTTAGACATAAGTAAGTACTCGGAATACTAAAGGTATTTTTCGAAAAATTAGCCCGGATGTCCCAGTACATTTAGTGTAAATGACAGCTATAATTACGTAACTAAGTAATTGATCAATCGTTCTGTTTTTTTAAAAAGAAGCGTCTTTCCAAGAACTTTTAAAACCTGCTTTAAAAAATTTGATTTGATTGAATATTTACAAAGTTCTAATTGTTTATAAGTACAAAAATTCTACCAATGTTTGAACAAGCGCCAGAGCTCTCCTAATTCACGGATTCGAATTTTTCAAAAAAAGTTTGAAAGCTTGAGAGCTCTTCTATATGTGATTAAATTTTCAAGTATCTAAGGGCCTTGGTTTTTGCTGTGCAAAAATTTAAAAATTTGCATTTTTTTTTCAAAATCTGGATTGCAAAATTATTATGCAAAATTTATCGAACCGATTTTGATGAAATTTGGTGTGATAATTCTACATAACATGAAGTTTTTTCGAGACAAGTATAAAGGTCCTATACCCAATTTAAATACCCCAAAAAAAATTCCCTAAAAAGTATTGTTTTTTAATCCCATTTTTGCGATTTTCGATTTTTACCATAATAAACATGATTCATTCGATTTGTAACTAGACATGTTTTGTAAAAAATTTAATTAAAACATTTTTTTCCTCTACCATTTTCGCCTAAAGTCAACTCTTGAAAAAATACATAAATAGGAAGAAAAATATGACATTTTTCGAATTTTTTTAACATATTGTGCCGCCAAAAGTTAAGCCCACGTTTTTTTTTATGTGCATAGAAAAATTTTCATTTCTAGTGATATTTTAAAGCCAAAAATCTCCGTGGATATACGATTCACCCAAATATGGCTTTTTGAAACAGATACCGTCTGGACTATTAATATCTCAAAAATGTGTAATAACTTTTAAATTTCATGACAAAACTTCGAAATATCTACTTACAAATGAGTTGGAGAAAATGTCACGTCCTGTATAATACAAATTTATATAGAACTATAAATGCTACAGGTAAGAAAAGATGCATACGCAATACTGAAGAAACAAATTATATGCAGATGATTTCTTAAATATTAGTTAATTAATATTTTTTTTAGAAAAATTTATTAAGGCTTCTATAAAGTAATTAGCATGGTATTAAATTTTATGTTCTTCCATGTCTTTTTAAGGATGTACAAATGATTACAAGCCACGTAGCCGCCGAGCTTAGCATCACTAATATTGATTAATTTACAATGAACAATGACAAACTGTTATGTATATGTTCGAGATCATGCAATCACTGAATGGTTGCATAGAATCTTATGGAAAAATTACACCAATCATCAGCCGGTGAAACAGAATATTTAGTTTTAATGTAATCTTGATCTTATTGTTTAAATTTTACCAGAATTTTAATGTAATCTTGATCTTATTGTTTAAATTTTACCAGAATTGCCAACTTGAAGGAAATAAAATTACTGGTCATGTGGCTTGCAATCATTTATGAAGGCTCTATATATTGTGTTTTTATTACTGAAGAGGAATAAGCGATACATTAAGGAAAATTAAACTTTATTACTTTATTCCTTTTGAATACAAAAGTCCAATTTGGATAAAAAAATATGTACAACAACCTGATGATAGTCATATTTACAGTCTTCACATAAAACTAAGTTGAATTTGGCAGTTTTGAACACAGGACTTCCATGCTTACATAATCCTACGATTCCTTCGTAGTTCGGGACTGCTAGTGTAGAAAGTACTAGCGTCCCCATAGATCGGCTCTCTACTGCTATGTGCAGTGCAATTGCAGTTAAACCTATTACAGATCCGATTGGAGTTGGGACTGATGTTAGACGATACCCTACTCAGATTAGCCGACATATTAGCCGCACAACGATTAGTTGTCGGACTACCTGCGATTCCAGATGTCAACATTGAACGCGTTGGATGGACATTGACGTTCACAATGGGTTGCATGTAATTGGAATAGACTAAAATAAATTACAAAGTATGAATATTAAGACGGGTCCTTTCTGAAAAAAAATTTGAAATACTTACAGTAGAATGTTATCAGGAAAATAAACAACATGGCACCTGCCATGGCTATCGCATATTTGTAGTGTTGTAGGAATCTGAATACTGGAGATCTCGAAAGTCCACAAAGGTGTTTATCAATATCGCCAGTCACTTTCACAAGGACCTACAAGACATTAAGTTTTTTAGAACCAAAATTTTTAAAAAACATTGCAGTGTTCCCATTTCATTTTTCTTATTTGTTTTTATTTTTTTTAGAAAATTTATTTTTTAATTAGGAAAAAAATGGTAACGAAGTTTTCAAAACCATCGAAATCTGTTAATAAATATGCAGACTGCCTCGTGTAAAAATATCAGATCGATTGCCAATATAGTTTTTTTGAAAAATGATATTAAAAATTATGCTCTTATACACAGGCTCTTATGCGAGTTGGGAAAAAACTTTAATGAAACGTGAATATTGCTCTTAAAAATTGTTAGAATCGGGAAAATAAAATTGTAATGAAAGAATTAAATATTACTAAACATTTTAAAACAATCAAAATATGCACTTGCAATGTAATTATTGAGATAATGGAATGAATATGGCAACACTGTACGCTGTATTTAACGCTTCATCTGACGCGCTATATTTGAATAGCTCAATTATAGACTATAAAATTATTCCAGTCGAAAACATATGTAGTAATAATTAATATTAAATAAATTTTTCGTGATCTAATGCAATATAATAGCAATTTTAAACAAACAAGAATCTCTTTGCAAAACGAACGGTATAGATGTTCTGTCATAATCTTCAATTTGACAAGGCGACGTCTCGCTGCCATACACTGAGCTTCTTGATAGTTATCATATGGATTCTCGGTTTGCACATTTTACTTTTTTCTCATCAATCCACATTCTGTTTCATACGCATTTTATATTGCTTTTCAATCATTACTTTTCCTTTGTATCTTGGATGTTCATTCATGTTTACGGAATACGCGCGAAGCGCAGTTGACGGTAATGACAGTTGACCCAACTTTTACAACCACGCCATGGCAATGGCAATGTTGCCAGATTTTACAAGCTCTTAATGAATAAATAGACACTTTTATTCAAATAAAAAGTTAATTGCCATGCATTAAACACGAAAAATATACAATATGCAAGCTAATATGTGTTGTATAAATTTCATGTGTATATATTATAATTAGTTCGCTCAAATTTGTTTATGTAAGGTTGGTGCTACAACGAAACTCCCGTGTATAAGCATAGGCTTCCCTCCCACACCGCCTGCTCCGCAAGAGATCTATCGAACCTCCTTAAGCCTTACTACCTTGTCTACATAATAAAATCGAGTATATTTTTTTACTAAGTTGCTCATAACTAATGGACCATACTTCAACAGTAGCTATTTTAGATTAAATAATCTGATTTAAGTTCTATTCGTACACATCAGTTTCGAGACCATAACGTTTCCAATTCGAGACAGTTCAGTCACAGACATTAGTGTCTGATCAAGATATTCAAACACATCCACAGGATTCGTAGCAACCGTAAAAACCGGGAATACCGGGAAAAGTCAGGGAATTTGTTATTCTTCATAAAAAACAGGGAATAGTAAGGGAATTTTAAAAATATTCATGAAAGTCAGGGAATTTGATTTTTGCAACTGGAAATTTTTTGAAAGCCGGCCCTGGGTTCTTGAAAGGGAAAACTATTTGTTGTTTTGAAACCTTTATAATAGCTGTTTTACATTGACAATTTATTGATGAATTAATTCATGAAGTCGCTTCATCAATAAATTGGACAAGTGTAATGCACCAAATCTGCTGTCAAATAACTTCATGAATTTATTCATCAAGTTCTTGACGATTTAGAGCATGTTCTAATTTTCATCAATTTCTTCGTGAAGTTCAGAAGTACCAACCCAACAGATTTCCAGCCTCAGATCAGTAATGAGGGTATGTTATTGGAATATGTAAATGATTGTGTGGCGTCGTGCTAGTTTTGCATTGTTTTTACTGATTTGTTACTTACACAAAATCTAATATTTATATAATATATGTCAAAATGGTTCCGCTGTTATATCACTACAATTTTGAATGGAACGGTGACATTTTTGAAATTCATTTGCTTCTTTGATTCGTTGGTAGAACTGATTCATGCGTTGAAAAACTTGATAAAGTCTGTAGCAGTGTAAAACCACACTGTTTACCAATAAATTCGTGAATTAATTCATGAAGAACTTCGTCAATTTATTCATGAATAAATTGTCAATGTAAAACAGCTATAAGAGGTTGTTACGGTATAAAAAAGATTATGGAGTCCAATCGAGAAAAAAATTAATGCATAAACACTAATCAGTATGTAAAAATGACCAGTGACCTGAATTTTTTTTACGTCTGGGAAAACCTGGAAAGTTTGTAAAAGAAGAATTAGCTGTCATCGTTATAATTTTAGACGAGGAAGAGGAAGAGCACAAGCCATAGAAATGAAAATGGGTGCATGATACGGAAAAAAATGAGAAAGTGAAGAAGAATTTGTCAAGTTATACAGGGTGTAACTTTAAGTGGGGGTCAGTTTTTTAGGGATAATAGTACAGGTTACCCTGAACACGAGTCTGAAATTATTTTTTTTAATCAAATAAATAGTCGAGTTATAATTAGTTTTTTAAAATGCACTTTAATTCTTGTGTACGCCGCCACTGAGCGGCACAAACGAGGCACCCGAAATTTGTGTGTGAAGTTGTGTTAATGTACTATCAACGTTGCCAGTTGTTTTTAAATAAATCATATCAATCTACATTGTATAATTTTTAGGACTTATTAAATGTTAACTAATTTTGGTACAGGGATACTTAAATATTTTTTTAATCAATTGTTACAACAAAACCAATTGAAAATAATTTTTTTAAAACAGATCAATTTAATATTACGACTTGTTATTTGAAAGTCAAGTTTCTAAGTCTTCTACTTTACAACGAGACCAAGTTTATTCCAAAATATTAAATAGAACAGCGAAAATACCGTTTAAAGAAAAAAATATCTTCGCTCCTATTGGTCGGATCGAGCACTATTTGATGCAATTGGTTTGCAATCTGTATATTAAGAAATCGCCGAGATAAGGACCCTAGTTACCGTTTTTTTTTTTGGTTTTTTAATAACTTTTTATTTTGCAACTTAAAAATCTGAAATTTGCATAGACGTGAGATAATGTAATTACCTTTCAAACATTTTCTACAAAATTTCGATATCTTGACTTGGACAGAAAAAATATGCGCTCACGTTTTCGACTTTATAATTTTGCAATGAGCCGCCATTTTGAAATTCGGGGCCCGAATAGCGGGTATATGTTGAGCATCCCAACGGTTATCTTTTCCTGTAGTTTCATCCAATTTCAAATTTGTTCTTTTTATTTAATTCTGAAAATTTTGCAAATTTTTTTTTTCACAGCTAATTCTGCAATGTAAAAAAATTTTTGCGAACTTTCGCAAAAGCCTATCTTTGAAGCAAATTTCCTCAGGAAGAAAATCGATAAGGATACCTCATGTCGATTAGAGGCTTATTTTCGGAGATATAATCAAAAACTGAAAAAAAGCAATACATTTTTTTTCTTTTGTTATAAACAATATGACGCTCGACCTCTACAAATACACAAATTTAGGCTTTTATTCTGTGTATTTTATACTTAATTTTAAGCCCATAAAATTCGAGTTAGGCCCGATTTTTGAAACAGCCATGTGTTTAGTCTAATTCGCCCGGATTATGATAGAACTATTCGGAATTGAACCCATTTTGTGACTGATGTATATGAATAGACCTTTAGATCAAGGTGCTTCCTTAAAAAATTACCGGTTAACAAAAATCTTTTTAATTAATTTTTTTTAAGAACTATAATGTTTAAAGATATTTCAATCATATGTTTTTATGTAGGCTTATATCTTACTTAAAGCGTTGTCTGCTAAATCGCAGTGCTTTTTTTGCTTCCATTCTGCTTACCTTGTCTTTCTGCTTAGTTATCAGCGACGAAACAATAATACCCATGGCATCTTCTAAGCTAGCCAACCTCCAGTGGTAATCAATCAGTTGTACGTCATAGTGAATTGCAGTTTCGTTAACTTGCTTACCCTTACCAACGAAAAGAATGCTGCTATCCGCTGGCTGCACCTGAAATATTTCTATATTTATAATTATTCTACATGTGCGTTTCATTAAAGTTTACCTTTATCTGCTGCAAAACTTCCGGTAGGCCAACAACGAAAAGTTCACCGGTATTACTATTTTCCGCAAGCGTTACTTCTGGTAAAACAAAGAAGTTCGGCAAAAATTTTATGTTCAGACGTTTGGAAATTGTTTCGTAATCTTCTGTGGTCGCCCAGAGGGTTACGTTTGTTTGTAAAACAGCTATTTCGCTATTGTGCAGGCCCAAATTCGTCAACTCACAGGCATACTGTCCTGAAATATTTAGAAATTTCATAAGTTTCGAACGACTGTAACAATCTTGTTCGTATATAAAAAATTTGTTACAGAACAAATAAAAATCTAGAAGAGTAAAACTTTTTAATTGACAAATATACCTGTTTCTGGGACCCAACTGTTGGTCACATTAAAGAATTGATTAATATTAATGGGTGAGCTTTCATTGGAAAATTCTACGAAACATTTAAAGCCAGTGGGGCTGACTAGTTTGCGAACGTCTGTACGGCATCTCCAACCCTGAATCTGAAATAAAATAAGGGTTACAATTATTTGCAAGGTGTAAGGACAAATTGAAAAGGAAGGAGTATTTGCCTCGTCCAATTTTTTTTTCTAAATTCTATTTTTCAAATAACTCCAAAATTAGACAGCTACAGCCTTCGTTAGTTTTAAAAATTTCAAACTGGACCTTGCCGAAAATTCAAGCAAGTAAGTCGATTACCCACCTATTCAAAATAAACAGTACAGAAACCTTCTGTTTATTTTTCTGCATATATCTTTCTTTTCTTATTTTATACAGGGTGATTCACAACTTATGCATAATTTGGGAATAGATGCGACATGAGAAATGGAGTCAATATTGTAAATTTTTTTTTTAATTTTGAAGTTGTAGTACTTTCAACCATTACATAGCTGGACAACTGCAGTCTCTAGCATCATTCGTAACACGTGTGGAGAGCCACGTGGCCGCAGCGACTCTGAATACTGAAATCCGATTTTACAGTTGTCGTTGCCATAGTGTTTACAATAGTTTTTTAGTAGTTAGTGTGAAAAATGGCTTACGTGTATAGCAACTTCGAGTTGATGGATATCGTTTTAATTTATGGTGAAGCAAGAAAACATTTGTATTATGGTGAAGCATTATTTGTGTTATAAAACAAGACAGCATTTGTGTTAGTTCGTAGTAACTGAGCAAGACTGACCCAAATGTGTTTACATGTCGGTGGACAAACTTTTGAACAGATGTAACATCAGATATGCCAATTTATTTTATTATTTAAAACCAAACATTAATTTTATTAATTAATAATAACAGTGATTTACGGAAGTGTCATAGAAAGGGAATGGGAGAAAACCTAGAGCATCAGAAAACGTGCAAGGGGAGGACCACTTGTGAATCTCGTCATCGAAGACCCAACAAGTACTCGAAAAATTGCACGATAATTTGAACAGAGTCAAAAAAAAGTTTGACAACATTGTGGGAAAATCGGTTGTACCCATTTGATGTGCAACGAGTTCGAGTTTTATGGCCACAACACCACTCTCAACAAAATTCAGTTTTTCGGGTGGCTCTTACAGCAACATGGAATAAATCAAAACCTTACAAGAAGCATTTTGCTTATGGACTAGGTTATATTTACCCAAAACGGAATAACAACTTTCAAAATACACTTCAAATTTTCAATGATGAGTTTGATACAATTTTTTTTAAAGCACTGTGTTTAGTTTGTGAATCTCAGTGTCGATGACTTCTGAGTTTGATCTAGTTTAGGCAAAAAAACAAATGGTCAATGCTAATTCGGTTAAATGAGAAAGAACAAATATGTCACAGCTTGAATATATTCATTTTAGGTTATCAGTTAAAGAGTAGGTGTTTGTTATACGGAACATAATTTCACAACTTTTTGTGTGAAATATTAGTTTTTAGTTAAATCAAAATAGAATTTATATAGAATATTTCTGAAATAACTACATTCTTTGAAAGGGGTAATACAGGACAAAATAAACAATTTCCAATTAGCAACCTGTGGTCTAATGTGTTATTTGTTCCAAAAAAAAATATCCAAGAATGCATCACCCCATTTAATCAATTGTTTACAATGTAGTAACTAGGTCAAGTTCAATATGGTTATTTGCACGGCATGGGCATGGACGTTACTTGCTTGCTCTCATGGATTGATTTATGTTATTTTAAAATGCCTTCAAATCAAGAAATATCAGATATGGTATTAATATGTGGAGTTACTCTCAAAAGACAACTGAACATCAGATCAGTGCAAAATGTTGTTCAAAAACTGTGGGACGGCAATAGTATGAACCCGGTAAACACAAGCTGCAGTACCAGCAATGTATTTAAAGAGATAAATTAAGAATATAATAAAGAAATATAAGATAAAGAATAAATTTAGAATTATTGAAATATGCCTTTATATTTTTTTCAATACTCTTCTCATTTGATTAATGTATTTCCAACATAAACAATTGCTTTATAGTAAAATTGTATTTACCAAATTATTTGTTTTCAGTCCTATGCTTTTCTCGCTCTGCAGAACCAGCACCACCCTGACGATGCTCTTCTTCTCCCCGTTCGTCAGTATCATATTCGGATCGTCCAAGAATTCTATCTCGCTGACGGGATAAATTTGTATATGAATGGGAGCGGACTGGAGAAAAGTATGCGTTAAAACTACCACGCCCTCTCTGTTGCCGACAAATCCAATGTCGAGGGCCGGGTTGATCATCATCAGGGAACTGTCGCTGCTCTTCCAAGTTCCTGGCGTGTTGAACTCGGACACGACGGGCGTCCACAGGCACACGATGTCGCCGCTTGTCAGGTGGTCCAACTGAGGCCTGACAGCCTGCTCCACGTTTATTTTTACATAATCGGCAGTCTTTTGAATTCCTATAAAAAATAAATAATTTTTCAATCGATATCAAATAAACAACAGAAGTAGGCAGAAATACATTTTGGGCTATTTCAAACCTGTCATTTGTAGTAAGGAGGTCAATCATAGAGATCATCAATTTCTCTTGAAAACATATGTATATCTCTATTTGAAAATAGTTCAAATACTAAACTGAAATATATTTTTTTAGATCAAATAAAAAGTCAAGTTAGAGCTATTTGGCAAAATGAGAATGACCGAATACATCATCATGTCAAAATGAATCATTTTATTACATTTATTTTAATTTTCAGTTTATCGGTTTACGTGGAGTATGATTTTGCTTTCTACAATCCTAAGTGTGTATGTGCTTGTAGCCATCACGTGCAGTTGTTCGAAATTATACAGTCCAACGACAGAGTATAAAAATTAAGAAAAGTGAAATATGTCCAGTTGTATATAAACATTTATATATTTATATTGTTAATAGTCTACAGTACAGGCCTCCCCTGGAAAGTTGATTATCACATACTTTATAACTCGTGAGGAGCTTCATTTTGACGAGTCTATCACACTTTTCCTCTGCGACTTTTCTCGATTCCTCCGCTTTTCCACTTGGAAAAGTCCAAAAACATGGCAATTTCCCGGGTTCTTTAAAAGTTCAAGACCACATCTTTTTTTTTTAGCTTAAGTTACTGGAAATTTTGTTGCAAATGACGATTTAAATTTGTCCGACATAAATTCTTCCGACATAGACGTGTCTACCGGCCGAAACATGCCAAAATGACGGGGTATTGAAAAATCAATTACCACATAGGTAGTTTTTAGTAAAATTAATTGTAAATAATTAATTCAGTCAAAAAGTATTGTTGTCCGACAAATTTCAAATCGCGTTTTTTCAGTCCGACAGCTGGAAATCGGAATTTTCACAGGGTATGATAAATCGATTACCACATATCTAATTTTAATTTTTTCCACTTTTAAATTTACTGTACAAAATAGTGATATAAGTGTCCGACAATATAATGTCCACAAATTATTAAAAAATCAATAAATCAATAATCGTGATGAAATTTAATTTTTTCACTCCAAAAATTTCATATTTATAAATGGTTATTAATTATTATTATGTAAATTATTATTTATTTCAAATAAATAATTATAATATTGCTTAATTTATGCTTAAAAATTAGTTATAAACAAATGAAGTTATTTTTGAGACGATTAATAAGTACAAAATTCAACATTTTCAAACTATTTTCTCCTATAATATTTTAAAAGTTCCCGCCTCATGTTACTTTCATGAATAGTAGCAACTATAACAAGTTTAGTGGTAAACCAGTATAGTATAATCATGGGCAACTTAAGTAACCATCATCCGAGCGATCCTCTTTCTATCGCGCCCCCCTATAAATTCTTGGTGACATCAACATATTATGCATTTGAGGATCCATAGGAAAAAAAGGATTATAACTCTATAAACTGTTTCAGGCAGTTTAAAGTAATTAACTTACATATTATCTTAGTGCATAATGCACTATTTCTAAATAAAATAATATTATACTTGATATAAAAATCCTTTTTTCTCTTTGAAGCTTTCATTTGCGTTTGTTATTTTTCATTACAAAAATTTTCCTATTTTTCTAAAAGAAAATCCCAAAACTTTTGTGCATATTTTTTTACACCATACATACTTTTTTGAAATCGTTTAATTCTTTTCTCGATATTTATTTGGCTAAATTGAGCATATAGAGATTTACAATTACAAGAATAAAACGAAAAATATATACAGGGTGTTTCAGAAAGACCTCCCGTAAATAAAG